TGCTATCAACCCTATTTCTGGAAATGTTATAAGTACTGAATGAATATTAATTTCTTGTGGCAAGAGATTTACACTTGCTCCATGAAGGTGAGAGAGAATATAAACATGGAAACAGCTTCAGTCTCCTCATCTACATAGACATTTAGCTTTCAAGGCTCCTATGAAGATGAAATGAGACCACGAAAGTCCTACCTAAATTGTTAAGGACTGTTCAGTGTAAACAAGCATTAAAGTTAGTGACAATGAAGACTATATCAACAACTTACATTTTTAGTACCCATATTTTCCAATGAAAAGCAAGGCCATCATTTTATTAATATCCCACCTCTCATTCTGATTCTTGAGTAGATAGTCCTGATACAAGCTGTCATCAGTGAGGTAGGAAGGTAGTACCAAGAAATCAGATTGGAAAGTAATTTAAGCAGGAGTCATGAGCTCTCTTTTAATGCATGGCTGTTGCCCCAGGGACTAAGTACTGTGGAGGGAGCACCTGGCAACATGGAGCAGTCGTCCATTCCCGGAACCATTTCAAATTAGATAAATCTTTTCCCTTAGGCTAACAAATGCAGTCCCAAAGTACTTGGAAGCATTCCTAAAGATTCTAAATAAGCAAACAGTAATTTTCAGGGAAATTCTTCTGGCAATTGGCTTCTCTATATCTAAGTCACTCCATTAGTTTTGTCATTCCAAGCCCAGAACTCAATCCCAATTCATTCAGAATTGACAGAGAAATCTGCTATGAGATGCAATTAATGGTTGTAAGGCTGTGTAATTGAATAGTTTCCCTCAGTAAAGCAACATATGAAGATCTGTGAAATTTATTTTAGACAATAGCTGAAGTCCCTCGGTAGCAAAGAGAGGTACCTATGCACCCCAGTACCATTTTTTTCCTATGTGTAGACTCCGTGGTATCAACTCCTCCCTCAGGATCTCAGGTACACTATCAGTCACAACCAAATACACTTCCCACTGCTTGTATAATTCAACTAGATCCTTCAAAAGACTATATTCAAACGAAGAGTTCTTTTCCAACTAGAACCACAGAAAGTGTCAAAAAAGAAAAATAGCTCCTGATGTGCCAGATACCCTTAAGAAATATGGGACATTTTTTCAGAGCTGAAGATAAAGAGCATAAGAAGCTTACCCAAAAGATGCTTCAAAAGGCAAGGAGAAAGCTCATATATGAACAAGCAAGATAGTATTACAAAGAGTACAGACAGATCTTCAGGCTTCACAGACTTGCCTAGCTAGGGGAAAGATGCCTCAACCTTTTGGAAGGAAAAGTTGATTTCCTGGCTGAAATTTTATTGAATATACATCTCCCTATGGCAAGAATAGATAACATTGCACATTCTTTGTACTATCCTTAACTTTATCCCCAACACGCATATTCAAATTCCCTCTATTTGGCCTACTCAACTTACACAATTCAATCCTAAAACTAATCCTACAATGTTCCCCGTGGAATGAGCTAACAGAATGAAGGTTGTAACCAATGCCTTTCAATAAAATCAAGACACACTCTGAATACTTGTTTTGGTGTCTTGCCTTGGCAATCCAACCTAATGACACTAGTGTGAAATCTTTTTCGCTTGGTAGGATATATGCCTGGAGAAGGTCAATAAGAATGCATTTGTTTTGCACCAGTAAGACTTGCTTGTACTGTTTTAGGTTAAAAGTGCAAAGGATCCAGCAAGTCTTGGCTCATATATTGTCATTTTCAGAACTCATGTATTTCGATTCCAATTGATACAAACAGCCCCAAGAATGACTACTTCTCTAGAGTGAGGGACAGTTTGATCTGAAAAATTTAATTACTGTTAATCTTATTTGTTGCTTGTTATGAAATTTCTTTGCCATGTCAATAACAATGTGGTAATTTAAAAGTTATTAAGCTTACAGATATTGACCCATATGCTTTCTATGGCTCCTAGGTATCATTCTATAATAAATTCACTACTTGTACATGAAGAAAATTATAAATTGAAATGTGAGGGGTGGTTCACAACAGAAAGCCACAAGTGCAGGACAGAAATTCAATGTAATAATTCTTTGTATATGAAGATGTCATCACACACCTGGAGGGAGAAAACATCCTGTCTTCTGCACAGGCCTCTGTGAATCTGTTTACAATAGTTCAAAGGATTACAGACAGCTGTTTCCTAAGGTATAAGCTTCAGTACACAGAGGGCCTAACACCATTTCTGTGGCTCATTTGGTTTTTTAGACCGTCTCATTCACCCTGTCCACAGCAGTTTGGATACATAGGTTGTTCAGAAAAGCTGGATTGCAAGCATGAATTTACTATTATAAATTGCCATCTTCAGTGCAGTTGCTTAGTTCACAGGTGTCAGCATATATAGTCAGTCAGGGTGAGAATCCTTCCAATTAACTGCTAGATTCAAAAATCTTCTGAAGCTTCTCAGGATCATTACCTTACCCATCTTGTACATATAATTGTATGGCTTGCCTCTGTCATATTTCCTAGCTCTTCTCCTTGCTCTCTCTTCATTGTCTAGTCAAGTTCTTGCTTTCCTTTTAATTGTATTATACTTTTCTATTTGTATTTCTTCTTTTGAGTTCTTATACTAGGGAAACTATATGATATTTACACGTGTGTCTGTTTTATTTCACTTATGAGTATATGTTCAAGTGGCATCCACTTAAATATAAAGGCTTCAAGTTTATGGCTGTGACTCATTCACATGGCTGACACTGACAAAAGATCTACAAACTGAGGTACAGGGTCTCAGGATAAATCCTGAGGGCATTTCACTGACCTTATCAGATACAAAAGCTACAAGTCTTGTTACATAGGTCTTGCTTTATCTTGGTCTTAATCACCCAGCAGAAAAGTATAAAAACAAAGTATAAGAAGTAAAGCCATGTTGTTATGTTGAGCTGTAGGGGACTCAGGTCAACAACTTCTGACATTGCCAGTCAAGTGGAAGACCCAATACTCTTATGGACTACTGGACTCTTTTAGAATATTTTGCTGAGTTAACACACCTATAATATTTAAATGATGGAACTGAACACAAAAAGGGGATACAGATGAATGACCATTTTGTACCTGTGTATTCAAAATGGTTAGAATAGATATATAGCTACATTATCTTAATTCAAATAATAGAGGGATTTGTTCTAATAGTGTTTGTAAATAAGATATCATGTCTGAATCTTGTACAACAAATAACCACTAGGAAGACAGTATGCAATGTATTATTGAAACTGTCCTAACAATTTGATTTGAAACTGTCTCATTGCTATTTGTTTCTCAATAAAATTATGGAAAAGAAAAGCTGTATTGCAAAGCTTAGCTTTACCATGGAATGACAGATCTCCCTTATTTGTGACTATGGAATACCTTTTTGTTTCAATAATTTGAATCAACAAAGATTAAATGAGGCTTCACAAGTAGTTTCTATTATGAAATTCTTTAAAAAGTTTAGAGTGTAGACTTTAAAAATAGAAATTAAAGACAATGAAAGTAGGTAATAAATAATGCAAATAAGTACTAGCGTTACAATTAAACTGCAAAAAACAGGGCTGGTGAGATGGCTCTGGTCTAAAGCGCCTATTTAGAACAAGCTTAGCAAAGCACAGGGACCACAGTTCAATCCCCCAGCACCACATGCCAGCCAGCCCCGCCCCCTGGTGGGCTGAGCTGGCCACACACACACACACACACACACACACACACACACACACAAATAAATAATAAAAAAATGGTTTATAAAAAAATGCAAAAAACAAAATAATTCTAGAAATTAGTACTCATGGAATAACACAAAGAGCTTATTCAGCTACTTAATCTTGTAATGTGATTTTTTTTATGTCCTTGAAATTTTGACACACTAAATTCATCATCTTCTTTCATATTCTCACCAAAGATGACCTAGAGACTCCGGGGGGGGGGGGGAGGGATCATGACAGGGTCTTGCTCTGTAATTCAGGCTGAACTTGAACTCATTTTGTAGCTCAGGCTGGCCTCAAATTACAACAATCCTCTAGCCTCAGCCTCCAGTGTGCTGGGATAACAGGAATGTGACACTATACCTGACCAACCTACTCTTAAAAGAAATAATAAAACAGTTGGGTTCTTTTTTAAGGAATTATACCTTTGATGATTCTGATATTGCTTATATTTTTTCTTCTACAGTAATTGAAAGTGGTTACTAAACAATTTGAACAGCATATCATTTGAGTAGCTATACTTGAGATTTTGATTTTGTAAAATGATATATCATATACATTATATTTATAGAAAAATTAAGATCAGTCTCTAGCCATAAAAATGTATTCCAAATTTTTAATATAATTTCTGTACCTCCAAATAATTACTTTCAACAATTTAAAAATATTAAATAATATCACTACTTATTGGTATTCACTTATATAACCTACTGCTCCAACTGATTATGATTTTATTATGATGCTTGGCATTTAAGGCTCTCTACAACTTGGAACCTTTCTTACTCAACCAATTTCCTTTTACCAACTCAGTACTGCAAATCTAATCGATATAATACTCTCATTCTCCCATAAATGTCATACTCATTCTGATCAGTATTCTTTTACTTATATAGATTACTCAAACATCCTCTTCCCTAATCATCAAAATTCTAATATGATCCCTCAGAAAATGCTTATTTACTTGTTTAAAAAAGGAAAAAATTAGGAGCTTGCTTCACATATTCAAAAACATAAGTTCTAAGAATTAAAGTATAACACAGCTAGAAGAAAATACATGCAAACATTTGAATACAAAAGTCTAAAATCAATGAAATACTATAGGTAAATGATCAGCAGATTTTATAGAAAGCTTTCATACATCAAAAGTAACTCCTGAACAACCAGAAGTGACTGCACATGGCGACATTTTTCTTAGTTGCCATCTCCAGTATTTCAAGGAACACGTAAAAGTACTTTATAGCTGGCAAAATAAAAATATTAGTCACACATGGTTTAATCACAGGTTGCTTTTTGAGGGTTTCTGCTTAGTTTTACTGTTTCATTCTAAGACCTCCCCATTAGGTATTTTAAATGTTCAACAAATGTTTTTATTGTACACCAACCATCTGCAAGGGACTGTGCTACAGACTAAGAAAATACAGATGTGCAAAAGACACAAGGTTTTCCCATCACAAAACTTAAGCCTAGTGGAAGACAAACATTAATCAAACATACATAAAAAGTGTGGATAAAATTTAAAGACACAGAGCACATAAAAGGGTCTTTACCTGCTAGAGATCTGGGACATGCACCTGTCAAAGACTTTGTGTAAACACAAAATATGAACTCTTTTAACAGCAGAGCTCTATCTTGAATACTTTTTCTTGTTTACTTTTCTGCATCTCACACTATACAACTTACACATTTGTCAAATGACTTATTCACATTAACATTTACGGTTATCCTTAACTATTTTCCCCCCAATGGTACACATGAAACCAGTTTTAGAGAAATTTGGGAAGACATGTTTTTATTCTTAAACAACTTTAAAAATACCTAATTTATAAGATGATTTCATGATCAATATCACACCCTAATTTATAAAATGATTTTATGATCAATATGATCACATTTAATGGAATACTATTTAAACAAAGAAATAAACTTACATTTCTTAGAATTGTTCATATCATGTACTAAAAGTTATTACAATTTTTTCACTAACTGTACATATATAATTTGTAAAAATGTTTTTTAAAGCACTATTTTCACACTGTATATCCTGGAAGTTTATTTATTACTAATTCACATATATCTTTGCATTGCTTGGAAAAACTTAGTGATCCAATATCATCATCATCTTCTCCAAAGTGGTTTGATGTACTATTATCCAGGATCTTGAGTTCTAGTTCTGACAAATTAGATGGAAAATAGGAACTCAACTGAGACGTCTGTGGTGATGGGCTTCTCTCTAAAGACTTTAAGTCAGTTCTTGTTTTAATAGTGACATCTTGACCTCTCTTTATTACCTCAGAATCATGCATACTATTTTGGTCCATCTGGTTTTCTTTTTCCTCAGGCAAATGTGAGGAAGACAAATCACCAGTAGAGATACTAGATGGTTCCTCTAAACCTGTATCTTGATTCTTTGAAATACGAGATCTTCTTTGTGAAAGTACTGGAGATCCAGCAGAAAAAGGTGGGCTAAGAACAGAACTCTTTTCACTGCTATTTTTCCTTACGGGCAATCTTGCTTCACTGGATTTACTTGAGTAGGAACCATGTTTTGGATTCCCTGCCTTTGAACTGCTATCATGAGCTTGTGAACTTATCAAATTCCTGCTGGTATCCTCAGTGGTATGGAAATCTTCAGAACAGCAAGAGCTGGTAAAGTCTTCTGAATACTTTAGATCAGAGATGCTTTCATAGAAACTATTTCTACTTGGGCTATTTTCACTCACATCAGCAGCAAGAACATCTCTGTCTGTAGTTTTGACCTGCTCGCCACTTATTTCTTTATCTAAAGTTCTGTCAGCAACATCCTGTGGGAACACATATGGACTTTTGACTTTCTTTTCTAATTTTCCTCCTAGAATATTTTTGTGAATAAATCTTTCTGAAATAATGGAATTTTCAGGGCTTAAAATTCTCTCCAGTAAACCACCAGTAGTTCTATTTTGACCACAATCAACTGTCTTTTCTTCCATTCCTTGTTTTGGTTTAGTCTTCTTAGTTGTGCTTAGCTCATCAAAAGCTCCACTAATTTGCTTTGAGATATTACTATCTTCAACAAGAAACGTATCTTCATCTAAATAATTATTTTTAGGCAGTTGCACCCGCGGACTTTGTTCTGCAAAATTTAATTTAACTTTCGATGGAATAACTTTACATTTAGTACCTAACATTTGTGCTTGCATTTTTCTGTAGTGTTCTCTCTTTTCCTGTACTACCAACATAGCAGGATTTGTTTGCTTTAAACGCAGTCTTAGAGTATTTGTTAAACCATAAAATAGTCTCCTCCTTGTAACTCTTGTTTGTGAATTATCACTGCTCTTTTCAGAATACTTATCTTTCTTAAGCTTTTCAACCTGTTTCTTTTTACACTGAAGACTCACTGACTTATGTTCTCCCTCAGAATGCTGATGCTTGGATTCAGATTCAGTGGACCTGGCATAAGATTCTGGCACCTTATCCTGTGTGCTGTACAACCAGGCTAAATGAGGATGTACTTGAGTAGGACTAGCCACGGGTTGGTTGTACAACAAGGACAACTCAATTAACAAAGCATTTAACAGGGGCAACTGCCTTACTGTATTAATTGTAGTTTGAGCAATTTGAGGACATGTAGTTTGATCAGTTGCTCCTATGTCCTGACTATGTGGAGGACTTACACGCACTGTAGGTCTCTCTTCTGTTGTCGAATTTGCATATTTTAGAGGACTCAGATGCACTGGAGAATTTACAAGGCTTTTTTTCAGAAAAGCATCATCTAACTCCTCAGGAACATTCATTTGTGGCTCAGTTATGATTTTAATCCGTGCAGGAGATTTCTTTGTTTGGGCTGGGTGAGTGTAATAGAGAGGAGGAGGGCAAAATGTGTTGGTCTCAAAGTCCAACTCTGCTACTTCCTCTTTGAGGGGGGCAACGGGCCTCCCACTGCTACCAGCTGAAGGAGCAGTGGCAGAGTTGGTTCTGAGACGCTTAACAAACCCTGTGGAATCCGAGACGGCCTCGCCTTGGAAAACTCTCTCTCCACCATCCTGCAGGTCCTCTGGGGCCCCAGCAGGCCGGTGCCCTTTCCTGGGGCACAGTTCGGGGGCCGAGGAAGGCCTTCGCGTCTTCAGCACCAAGTGGGGCGCCCGCCGCGGTTCTTGGCACACCGCGGTCCCCTCTACCCCTGGGGCGGGGGTGAGAGGTGCAGGTGGCTCCGTAGGGCCCGGGTGGCCGCCGCCCAGGTCTGTCAGACGGTAGAAGAGCGCCACGTCCCCGACGCGCTCTCCGGTCGGGCCGAGCAGGGCAAACGTGCCTCGACGGCCCCGGGCGCCCAGGCCTTGGACCGGGGCGGAGGCGACGGTCAGCGGGACGTCGCAGGCCCCCAGCAACAGCGGGGCGGGAGCTGGGCCTGCAGGCAGCTGCAGCAATGCGGCGCGCAACTGGAGGGAGCGCGGGGTGACGGGGCGCAGGCGGAACAGGCAGGCTTTGCCGCGCCCGAAGCCGAGCGCGCCACGCTCGGGAGGCGGGACGGGCGTGGCGGGCGGGTGGACGAGCAGCGGGGGGAAGTCCAGCAGGAAGAAGGCCACGGCAGGGCCCGGGGCACCTGGGGACGGCGGTCGGGCCTCCAGGCGCACCCAGTCCACAAGCAACTCCAGCGAGAAGAGGCGCTCTGTACCCACCGCCGCCATCGCCGTTACCTCGGAGACGCCGCTTCCGGAAGTCGCGAACCGAAAGTCAAATCCCTGAACTCTCGCGAGAGGTGGGAGGCCAGCCGCGCGGGGCTGCTCTCTCGGGACGCTGGAGGGCCGGCGGCTGGCTTTGTGCCGCTTGCGGTGGCCTGGTGTGGCAACTTGTGAGTTCCTTTGCTTCTTGACCTGTGTGAGCACTATTTGATGGTAATGCCGAGGCTATAAGCGGCAGAGCGGGCTTTTTTTTTGTTTTTTTTTTTAGAGGGTAGGGCAAGTTTATCGCGACAGATGCCAGCGTTTGGGAGTCGGACCAGGAAATGACAGATGCCCCTCTCATCCCAAACTGCAGAGCCCACTAAACACTGCACGCAGTGGCCTTCTGTGCCTGTGGTCGGTGGCAGTGTTGGTAGCCCTGGGGTCCCAGCCTCGTGCACTGTGTAACAGGAAGACACATGCACAGAGTATGTCCTCTTGATGGATTCCCTGACAATGTAAGTGGGTCGTCCGAGCCCTCTTCCCAAGGAGTCTAACCTCAGGTTCCTACCAGAGGGTCAAAGTCACCCAGTTGTACCAAATGTCTTGCTAAGGCAGTTTAGAAAGAATAAGTCATGCTTCCATTCTGGTGGACTTCCCACCTACACACACACACACACACACACCCTGATATCTGACTACCAGGCTGTCTTTCAGCAAGAATCTTAAAATCTTTTTAACCAGTGTACCATCTCCAGGGATGCATACCCACTGATCATCATCTACACTTGACTGGGACAGAAGAACCTAGAGATGCTGCCTGCCAGGCACAGGATCCACAGTTGAGGAAAAAGTCCGTGTGGAGCTAGGTACCAGCAAATGAAATTCCACCTTCCTTACTTGGGCATGCAGGTGGTCCCTGACAACACTGTTCAACTTTGCAATGGTGTGAAACATAATACATATGACCACTGTGTTTTTCACTTTCAGTTCATTATCAATAAATTACATAAAGTATCTACGTAAACTCATTAAAATACATAAAACAAATACTTTGTTATAAAGTGTTGTGTTCAGTGCTTTGTTATAAGCTTCATGCTAAGTGATTTTGCCCAACTTTAGACTAATGCAAGTATTCTGAGCCTGTTAAGGAAGATTAGGTTAAGCTATGATGTTGGGGAGATTTACCAAATACATTGTCAGATTATGGTAGTTTAAAATTATGATTAGTTTATGAGGGCATAGACTTACAAGTTTAGGAGCATCTATAATTATTTACATTCTTTGTGTCTGTTCTCCACTTAATATAACAAAAAGCTGGAATATCCATTAAAAAATAAAACTACATATAATTCCAAGTGGAATATTATTTACAAAGGTAATACAACCTGCAATTTTAAAAACAAATAGGAAAAGGCTAAATTAAACACCTTCACTATACTACAAATCTTGTGGCAAATGCTTGGTTACTATGGTAAGTTTGCAAGCCTCAGCTCTTCAGAAATCCTGGAGGTTGGGGACATCCTTAGGAAGTAGAGAGTCTTGCTGAAGCTCTCTTTGTTCTACTCCACAGACTCCCAAAGGCTGGTATTTTAGGGTTCTAAATATGCATATACTCTGGAGCAGTGATGGAAAACCCTTTGGTGCTTTCAAGGGTACCAACAACCTGCTGTAACCCGTGTGCCATAGATTTGCCACCGCTATTCTGGAGCAAGAAGATTTTGATCAGGACAAGCAGACATCTGTGGCCATTCATTTAGCACATGAGATAAATCCTACATGGAAAGATGTACTGCCCTAAGACTTGATTAGAAGTTCTAAGGGTTGTAAACCAAATTCATCCCTCTCTTAGCTGGGTGAAAAATGAATTTTATATACATTAAACCATGTAAGCCACAAGAATGTTAAGAACATTGACCTAAACATATTTTGCTTTTAGGAAAGATAACAAAACTTTTTTTTTTCCAGAATGAGTGTTCAGTGTTTCAAAGTATTCACTCTTTTTATTTATTTTGAGTCTTTTCATCTCCTTCTCTTACTAAATATGTTTGGAGAGGAAAAAGTCATAGCTTTTCCATATGCTGTCCTTAAATCAGAGGCAGAATTATGAACAGAATCATGATTAATAGTTTCAATGTTGATATGAAGTAGCTGTTGGAAGTAAGTACAAATAACTTTTTAAAATATCTTTCAAAGTAGCACCAGGCTTCTGTGTTACATATTCAGTTTTTATTTTGAAACTGTTGTAGCCTATTACTGGAAATTCACTCACTAAGGAAGGACAGTGGAAATCCTAAGTGTGGGAAAGAAGGCAAGGGGAAGGGAGTTGGAGAATAAACTGAGGCAGAACTGGTGATTCAATGGAGAATGGCCTAAATCTTCCTCAGTTAAGTCTCTTCCAGAAAGGGAGAAGAAAAATCACACAGCACCTTAAGGCACTGAAAATTGTTGGTTCATGAATAAATGAGAAAGTCTGTATGGCTAATAGAAAGTGATTTGACTGCCATTGGTGATTAGATATGTAGTCTAGTGGAGTCAACTCAGGTTTGAAGTTAAGCAGGTCTGGAGTGAAATATCTGCATGTCCATTTCATAACCATGTAGCTCTGGCACAAGTTGACAAAGTCCAGAGATTTCCTCCCAGATTATCATATACATTCTTGACCTATAGTATGCATGTTAAAATTCAGATCCTTAGAGCCTCATTCCAGAGATTTGCATTTACTCAGGCTAAGGCAGAGCCTGAACACACATTTTAAAGCTAGTATCCCAGGTAGTTCTGGTGCAGAGAACCCCTATGCTAGCTTGTGAAAACCATCACCCTAGTTTCTGATGCATCATTAAAGACTGTGTTACTATTTGAGAAGTTTGCAGCAAGCTGAATAGTATTACTATGGAAATAGAATAGCAGAAAAATGTATGCATTTATGTAATCCCAGCTGCCCCTTTCACACTTTCAAGGAGAAATGGAAGAAATGAAGTGGATGGCCTTGAGCTGTGAACCATCCTGTCAGCAGGCTGCGTGCCAGGAGGTGCAGAGATAACTCAAAGAAGTTGCAGAATGCCCTGGGGCTGGATCATGAAGGCTGCACCCCTCAATGGACTGGGCCCTTCTGCAAGATACTGCAGTCCTTGATCTGCTCCAGTGAGGTTTGACTATGGGTGTCTTGGACAGGGTGCTTTCCAGTCTTCTCTTACAGCTAAGCTGAAAGATATAACCTAACTCATAAATCCTTTCCTTCCCATGGAAATAGACACTATTTGTTATTCTGGCCTAGACTGTCTTGTCAAAACTAATGTCCATAGCTTCTCTAGCTAATGGAATGAGGATTTAATTGAATTTATTTTAATTTATGAGTACTGTAGTAAGGATTTTCAAGGGAGACAATTTAATGCAGGACACATAATTTATAGAATTATTGTACAGTAGTCACCCAGAGTCAAATACAAAAGAGTTCAGGGAATCTACCTATCCATATACTACCAACTCAAAGAATTCATCTGAGGACCTGGATCCACTGGCAGCATCCTTCACAAGTCCAGCTGAAGACCTAGAGCCCATAACAATGCTCTCCACAAGTCCAACTGGAGTCCTAGAGCCCATGACAGTATCTCACACAAGTCTGTTTCATGCATCTGCTAGAAAGTTCATGCCAGTGGGATGAAGGATCTGTGCTAGCAGACTGAGCAATCTGCACTGGAGCTAGGAAGTGACACTCAAAGTAAGGACCTGAATTTGTCCCAAAAGATCCATAGCCATCTCCAGCAGCAGCAAGGTCCTGATTTCCTACAATGATGAGAACAGTCAAGCTCATATCAGGAAACCAGCATAACAAGCTCATCTGGGGGAACCAAAGACCATCTTCTTCCTCTCAGTTCTCCTTTTATGTTGTTGGAAACAAGTTTAGGTGGGACCTCCACATCCAGCACCACACTCATTCAGTTCAGGTGGGTGTTACAAGTTGACTACCAGTTGTCAGCCCACCACAACTGCTGATATAATTTAGACTCCTCTAAACGACAGCCAGGTACAATTTTCAAAATTAGTAAGACATCTATCTTTTAAAATCTGAGAAATAAACCAAAAGTCTTGATAACTTTAATCAAGCAGACCATTCTTTAGGAGGCTCAGACCACAGACAGGAGCTGGAAGTCAACTCAGATAATTTTATACATAGCTTCCAGATTTGTCAAGATTATTGTATGGACATGGAATTGAATTAGGTCCTTACAGGTTTTCTTTGTTTAATCTTCATGACAACACAAAGTTATTGGTGCACTCTTAATAAAACTAATAGAACTAACTTGAAAAGGTTAAATAACATATAATTTCCATGTCAAGTAAATGATAACATTACAACAGAATTTAGTTCTGCCTCTTAAAAAAATAACTTGTGTTCATCCCACCAGATTCCTTTAGTTTATATGTCCATGCTCAAGGAAATCATTAATACAGACATTTCAAAACTACACATGGGGATACAAAGGAAAATAATGGGGAAAATAACTCCTAAACTTAAATTGAATCTGTAGTTTCACAACATCAAATAATAAAGTCATGAACCAAAGGAGGAGGTTAGGAGAGTTTTATTGGAACTAAGAATAGCTCCTCAATTTCCAGGAAAGGTCCCCAGTGGGCAACCACTATGGCTCTTTGTCAGGGGTATTTTTTATGGAAAGAAAGGTAAAACAAAACTTCATACCAAAATAATAGGAGAAAACAGTAGTTAATAATTACATGTTATTACCTTTAAAGTAGTTGCTTAAGGTACAAGGTATGGGCATAAAGTTTCTCCAATTGAAATTAGCACAAACCTTCCTTCTTAATGAACTAAGAGACACTAATAGTATAACTGACTTGAGTTTTTTTTTCCCTTTTACCTACTGACCTTTCTGCTTTCTCCCATCCCTAGTTCCTTTTCTTTGCTGAACAATTTCTTCCCATTTCACAATTTCTATTGCACGTTTTAGGCCTTACTTTTTCAGTTTCCCACACCAGGGAGACAAAACAATGTTTACACATGTGAGTTTGATTTACTTATGAGTATGGTCTCAAGGTATAGTCATTTACCTATAAAAGAAATCTTGTTTATCAGCATAATTTGTAGTCGCTAAATCTTGGCAACAACCCAAATGCCCATCAACTGAGAAATGGATTTTAAAAAAAACATGTGTATTTTTATACAATGGAGTATTACTCAGCCATAAGAAATATCAGGGGTATTTTAGATAGTAAAATCACAGTATGGGCATTCCCTAAGTGATAGATGGAGGGCACCTTGTCAAGGCACCCATAATCAGTCTTCATTGGAGCAGAACAGACTGCAGGACGTGGGTTAAAGGACAATCTGCCTATAGGATTACAAGTACAGTTGCTTAGCTAATATTGAGCCAATAGGGAAGCAAGGCATATGGCAAGGGTATGTGGCAAGCATCAGTCATCCTTGATTTTATCTATAACTTGTAATCATAGAACAAAGACATTATTGGAAAGGGATGGGAATATAGGTCTGGATGTGCTGGTCACCACCAGGCATCGATGCCTGTCTGGGCTCACTGCACCAGGCGGTGCTCATTACAGCGTGATATCAAATTGCTGTTTATCTCTGGAGGAGCTTGCTGGCCTGGCTGTTGTGTCTGCATCTTGCGGCCTGGATCTCTGCAGATTTGCCTCCAGACACAGTCTGGAAGTGTCTTGTTTTCTTCATTGACTTCCTCAAGGCCCTCAATCTTTCTCTGACTGCCAATTAATTTCTATCTAACTTAGTTGTCTATAACAGAAACAATTAATGCCACCAGAAAGCAGAGGCAAACACCAGATATGGTATTTTCCTCTAAGAAAACTGACAGCATTTGTTGTGGTGTAGATGGAACACAACATCTCCCCAGAGCCTCATGCTAACAGAGGTGGGCCTTTTGGAGTGTGACTGAGTCTTGGAGGTGCTGTGCTTGTTGGAGCAAAATATGCAGTAGAAGGTGGGGTATGGTGAGAAGAGGAGGTAGGTCACTGGGTGCAAAAGGAAGAGTGTGTCCCCATTCCTAGCTTCTCCCTTCTCTCTGTGCTTCCTGGTCACCATCAAGTGACCTGCATTCCTCTGCCAGACCAGCTGTCCTCTCCCAGAGCATTCCATCATGCTGTTTCTGCCTTGGAGGAGCTGACATGACCACAAGCCAGAATGTTCTCTCTTCCTTTACATGGTGGGTGTAGGGTATTTTGTCACAACAGCAAAAAAAAAAAAAAGTGACTAAGACCATTTAAACAATGAACCAAGGATACAAGAATAGGCAGGCAGAGAGAAAAGCAGCTCCAAATTAAGTCTGAATAAGAGACGGAGCCACCAACCAAATGTAATGGGTAAACCTTCTTTGGAATCTTACCCAAACCAACCATTAAAGCAAAAGTACAGAGAGGCACTTTGATATGCAACTGATATTAAGTGAGCCAAAAAAATTATTTTTGAGGCTAAATGTGTCCATGTCATGAAAGTTGTTTAAGAAGTATTATTCCATATAAGCCACACACACTAAAGTAGTAGGAAGAAAATAACAAGGCCTGAAATGTGTTTTATGATGTCTCAGGATAAAGAACGACATAGGAAAGCAAAGGTGGAAAAAGTCTTGGCAGTCACTGAATCTGTATGAGAGGGAAACAGAAGCTTGTGTTAAATTCCATTCTTAGTGTGTGTGTATTTGTCTCTTTGAAAGACTGTATGCTGGCATACTGGAAAGCAGTGCTGGGTATCAATATTATAAAAACCAACCATGCTCCATAATGTTGTTGCCAGGGAAAATTTCTTTCCCCAGCTGGAGCTATGAGATTCTAAACTACCCAGAATTCAGTTCTGTCCCAGATAGCCACTTACAATAAAGGGTATTTGTAAGTAGGATATATATATATATATATATATATCCCTATTTATAGATCATAAAGGCCAAGCATATTTGGAATTCCTTCTCCCCTTGCCTCACTTTTCAATGCCAGCTCCTTGAATAGAGGTGGTTCTGCATAAATATAGCAACAAGAAACTCCCTCTCCTCCTCTCCTTTCATATGCATATCTTATGTTTTCATTTACTTCCCAGACTCTCCACCAACTATTTTAGGATGACATCCACAACGTACACGTTTATTTTTCTTTAAAATATGCATGTGTTTTCATGACTTGAGCAGTAACTTTAAATGAAAGTTGGCCCAGTAGGCCACATATATATATATTTGTGTGTGTGTGTGTGTGTGTGTGTGTGTGTATTATAATAATTACACAGTCACATGTTTCTAAATTCTAAAGAAACAATAACATGAAATGATTCACTCCTTAGGCATCCATAAAGTCCAAGATCAGGTCCCAGCCAACTTTCCCACTTTCATTTCTTCCATTTGTTATTCCTCGTCCCAGAACTGCTGCTGCCTTCCCTCGACACAGATATCTGGACTGCTGTTCCCATCCCTCAACATTGAATGCCCTTCCTTTCCTCTCCGCAGTTCTCAGACAGATCTGACTCAAATATTATGTCATTTTTGAGCATTTTCCCTGGTAGTCCTGGCTGACACTGACTTCTCATTTCCCACTGTGCTTTATCTCCTTTGTGAACTGTTTTTCTGTCTTGTACTATTTTTTCTTACGCACATGAGTTATTATCCCTCAATTTCTATAAGCTTCTTGATAACGTTACTTCTCTTATTATTTTTTGCCCATGTACAGCAATTAACACAGTGCTTTGTTTCTACACATGGTATTTGTATGTATTTAATGAACAAACAAATGGAGACTAACCCTGCTGTGACCTGCTTGTATAAAACAGGGTTGGAAAATATCCTGAGCTAAAAATGTATAAACATTTGAAAGAAAGCTGCAGAGCCTTTCAGTTTGCAATGTTCTTTGTAACTATGTTGCATGGAAGCCCAGAGTTTCCTAAAATGTGTGGGCCTTGTCAAAGAGTCCCCACTGAGTTAAACTGGCCTTACATTGCACAGTTATGGTTGGCTGAATTCAAGGTCCAGGTAGTGAGATTAAGGTTAACAAGATTAAGGCTCCTTACCCCATGCCAATTGTATACCTCCTTTGCAGATTTGCTTGCTGTTCAGGCACCTCAAGTGAACATTCTCTGAAGAGGGCTCAGGCCTCACAAAGAAGGGCACAGGAGGGAAAGGACCCCCAGAGACAGCCTCTGCAGTGGGGGAGATGGGGGAGGTTGGGGGTGGGAGGAGGTTGCAATTGACACCAAGCAGTCTGCTCCTTTTAAATGCTGCTTCTTAGGAGATGCCACCTCTGAAGGGAAATGTAATGCCACCCAGCTAAAATTAGACTCCACAATCACTCGGTTTAGCTTCTGCCTCTCTGTAACATTGGTCTTTTTTGTTTCTTTGCCTTACATCTTCATGGCCCAGCAGCCCTAGCAGATGGGACAACACTCCTAGCCATAAATAGAAGGAACCAATAGGAACAGGGACTGCTTCATTCATGTTTCCCAGGGCCCACAAGGGGCATGATGACACCTCTCACCCATGATGATGGGTACTATTATCAAAACACCAGAAATGTACAACAGAGGGAGAGAGTGTAGAGAAAGTGGACCTCTAGAGCACTGCAGTAGGACTGTAAATCCGTGCCGTGGTTGCACTCGCTTTGAATGCAAATGAATGGGTCTGTCTAGACTGGATTGCATTCCTCCAGATTCATATATTGCAACACAAACCTCTAATGTGATTACATTTAATCCTTCAGGAGAGTATTAATGAATGGGACCACAGTGATCATAACCTAGTAGCATTAGATGCAGCTAAATTAGATAGAAATTAATAAATAGTCAGAGACAAACTAGGATGACAAGGAAGTCACCAGAAAAAAATAAAGACTTCAGAATTGTATCTGGAGGTGGGTTGGAAGAAGGCAGGCTTCAAGATAAAAGACACAATAGCCAGGTCCAAATGTCTCCCCTAAGGGATAAGCCATAACTTGGAATTCTTCTGTAGTTGGTATTACCTGGTTTGGTAAAAGTGCAGATATCAGTTGCCCACATGGGTGGTGAGAGAACCTGGACCCATCCTTTCCCCAGAATGCCTTGGTCCTTTCCACGCACCCTTGTTATGTGATCTGCTTCTCTTTTGGGCCAACATTAGCTAAGCAACTATAATTCTAATCTGATAGGTTGATAATAGTTTGACCCATGTTGTACCCACACTATGTCTTTGCTGTATAAATTACCCCTGACTATGGGCCTCCGTGGCAACCTACTTTCTGGTTCCCTCCTATCTCAGGAGCTAGATCTCTCAATAAATCTTTCCTATTCTTAATCCCCATTGTTCCTTAGAATTCATTCTTTAATTTCGAGGAACACAAACTTGGTTTATCTGAAATCTAATGGGTTTAAAGTTATACTTTTCCCCCTAAACTGGTAGGAATGTTTTATATATATATAAAACAAATTATTTTTAAATACCAGGAATATGTGTCCTCTGCCCACCGTGTTCCTCCATTCTGTTTCCCTTCAGTCCATTCATTCCATTTCTGCTTATCTGTTCAATAAATCTCTTAAAATACTTTATTAGCTAATAACTATGTTCATGTATAACTGTTATTCTCAAACAACTAAAATGTGCTAGTAAAGTTTTTCTTGAAATCACTTTTCTCTAAGGAGAAGCTAATATTGTATTTATATATGTATGTATGTATGTATGTATTTATTTATCTATTTATTTATTTTATATTTTAGGGAAGGGTCTACAGGGTGTTCAGGGTCTCACTACTAGATCCTACTCATAGTGATCCGCCTGTTTACAGCCTCCCAAGAGCTGGGATTATGGACACATGCCACCTCGCCCAGTCTCAATTGCTGTCTCAGCGTGACCCGGATCGAACCCCCGGCCCCTGTGCCTGCTTGTAGGCACTTTAATCCGTTGAGCTATTTGACCAGCCCTAGTGTTGTATTTAATTTTCTAGAATCACAAGAAAAATGTTCCCACCCTGATTCCTAAAATTATATTGTATATAATTTTTTTGCCTTGATGTTTTGACTTTGATTTTTTGATTCATGATTTTTCCTGAAGAAAATTGAATACCTGTTTTTGGATGTTTTGTTTCCAGTAGTATACATATCCTTAGGAAAACATTTTCTAACATTGAATTGTAATTTATATTTCACATGATTTTTTATATCAGATGATATATGATTAGCTCATAAAACCTTATTACCTACAAATCACTAACTTAATGAAATTTTACTAAGCAGGATGAGTTAAAATAATTTGAAATCTTTATCTTCCTTAAGTTTATTAACTAAACTAATGAATTTAACACTAGATGTTTAATTGAATAAAAACCATAAAGCCCAGGTCTAGTCTACACTGTTGTTTCTCTTGAATCCTGAAGTCCTTTGCAGAAATTCACTGTGTGGTGCTGTGATCTGCCCAGAGATTGCCTGCCAAAAGTAGCTCCATTGAGATTTCATAGTTAAATGATAATTAATGCAAAAATCATGTAATGTGGCACTCATTGAAACTTAAAGAAAGAAGAACATTTAGTAATTGGAAAACCTCTCTGCTAAAAATTAAATACACAAGGTGAGCTTCTCTGCCAACATTGAAGGTTGGGAACACTCGTAAGGAACTTCCCAATTTAAACTGAATTATTCTTGTCTTTAATTTCTTGTTTCTTTTGTCCCATCCTGTTACTCAGAAACTGGATTTCTGATCTATGCAACAATATGGCTTAGAGCAAATATTTAGTTTGATATTGTTCTAGTTGAAATGGGGCCAGGTTCACTCATTTCCACGAGTGCTTGGATTAATGCAACAGCTGAGGAGATTAGGGTCTTTTTAAAAAGCTAAACAATTCCACCCAGCTTCTCCAAACACTGAGGAAAAAGATTCCCAGTATTACAATCTCTCTAGGCATACAGCCCCCTCCCTGCTCCCTCCTTCATTGTTCTCTTGCCTTGGCATATTATTTTCCAAGCCTGTACATTACAGAGTCCCTTGAAGGCAAAATCCAGTCCCTTTGCTTCAGGCTTCAGGTACAAGCAACAGATTTCCTGTCTGGAATCACCAGAGAGCCAAAACAGATATTAATTTTTAACTTCTTTATGTAATTTTTTCAAGTAATATTACAGCTGTTTTACCATAGCAGTCTAGGAATGCCAGCTTCAAGCCAGGAAACCCTGTTAGACAAATGAAGACACAGGAGACAGAACATCTTTGCTGGGGGCCAAGGGTCTTCACCGTAGTGGAGTAAAGCCTCAAATTGGCTCAAACCCCCAGGTTTATTGTGGAATAACAAAGGCAGTAGAGTTTTGCTGAGCAAAGATGTTTGTTTTAGATAGGAAGGCAAGCAAGCAAGGCATGGTGGCAATTTTGCTGAATAATTAACTTTTATGTGCTTGTCCCCTTGGGAGCTTCCTTGTTTGCCCCATGAGGTTTATCTATGCCCGATCTGACAAAACATCCTCTCTTCAAGACATTTTGACTCCTTGGAGTCAGCAATCTTAGTTAGCAATCTTCCACCTCCCCAGGCAACCTGAGCAGACATCAACCAGTTTGGTGTACAGGGAGCTCCAGGAGGATAAAAAAAAAATGCCCTGGGAATAGATAATGGTTTGGCAAGCAGTGTTCAAGTGTCCAGTTCTACCTGGGTTGGTTCTGACCCATAAGTCCTAGTGTTCTGGAGCCCACACTGTATGGAGTAACACTAAATGATGTGAAAACCACCTGCCTAACTTGAGAAAGATTTAAATTCCCTTAAAAAGTGAAGACGACAAAAGCAGCTGAGACCGACGTTACAACAATCACAGACTATGTGATTCTGTGGACATAGTGCTGGGGCCTTGCAGGTGCTTACTAAATATTCATTGAATGAATTAATGAGTAAATAAAAGATTCATGGTTAAAAAAAAACCCAACAAATTGCCTTGTTTTCAAGATTCAAAAGCAGTATAAACATTTGTGCTATTGTTTTTTTACGTATCTATGCTTTCACAAAATCTATTTAGCAGAATCTCTGGACAATTGCAGTGGGCTGAGGTGTACAGTTTTTTTTTTTGGCTGAGCTACTGAGGGCAACTCTCCTTTTTTAATCTGCAGTTAATGTGAGTTAGGGGAATTGCGTGTGCTCTGTTTCTCTGGCCTTGGAAATTATCCCCAATCAACCATATCTGATCTTTGCAGAATGTGGGGTTTGTGGTGTAGGTGGCCATGTCTGTTTTTGTAAAACAGGTGGTTTATACTGGGTTTTTGCAATGGCCAGTTGAGTTTTGATTCAGCCCACGGTTGCACAGCAGCCATACTTATCATCTCAATCAAACCTAAGTTCAGCAAGCACCTTAGTGGGAGTCCTTGAGGTTAAGACTGTCAAGAAGATCATCAGAACATGCTGTCTTAGCTACTTTCTTTTGGCTGGGCCACAGACTTGCCACCTATAACTGAAAGGAGGAGAGGTCTATTTTAGCACATTAGAGTCCACGGTTGGCTGGCTCCCAGGCAGAAATGGCATGGCAGAGGTGCCTAGCGGAGGAAAAGCTGGTTGCATCACAGTGACCAGGAAGCAGAGAGAGAACAAAGGAGCCAGAGACAGAGATACACCCTTTCGTGTCATCGTCAGTGACTTAGCTCTTCAGCAGGCCCCACCTCCCAACCACACATGCAGCTGTTAAGCTCCCTGGAGGATAATTCTATGGATGAGCACAGCTTTCCTGTGACCCACTCACCTTCTACAGGCTCCACCTGTAGGCACATGTGGCTTTGTGAGACGTTCTCGCTCTACACCATGACATGCACGTTGCACAAGCAGAGATCAGGAGAGCTCAGATGCAACCTATAAAAGTGGCCCAGTGCACCCTTGTGCACATAGTCCTTCACGAGTACTCAGAACCCTAGTGCTATCAACACAAGCCTGGTCAGAAACGCTTGGGAAAAATGGCAGACAACTTGCTGTGTCTGGAGTTCTCAAGAAGACTCTGAATCAGGTTCATTCAGATGAAAAGTCAGTAACTTGCCATGGACTTATTCCTTGGCTTTTCTGTTCTCCTCAGCTCTTTCTAATGCATGAAAGCTGCAACTTTAGAGTATTCAGTTACAGAGAATTTTATTCATGTCAAGCTAGATTTTATTCTTTTTAGAAATTCAGTTTATTGGATTATGAGATTTATTTGTAACCATTCATGG